TATTTGTCGTTGAATTTCGCGACCAAAACAATGAAAAACACAGGGCTATGTGCCAGAAAACTAGAAGGTGGACATGTATTTTTAATTGTTTGCTGTGCGATACATATGTATATGTTAAATATGAAATGCATTTATTTCAGGTGTGTGATTACAGACTTGTGTGTGAGGTTTTGATTGTGGCCCAGTCAGTTGTTTGCCGAGAAGCCTTGAAAACTGTGTATTGCCCCCCCCCCCAATGCAATCAAACGTTTAAACAAACATAAAGCGGCTGGTGAGGACCAGTTGCTAAATGAGTACTTTATAACTTTATAGAAGCATGTGATATTTTGTCCGGTTACATAACTGTATTGTTTAATAAAATTTTAAATACTGGTTACTTCCCAGCTGCGTGGACAAAAGGCATCATAATACCATTACATAAAAAGGACGATAAAGATGACGTCACAAATTACAGAGGAATTACTTTGTTAAGCAATTTAGGAAAACTATTTACATTGATTTTAAATGAGCGTATAAATAAGTGGTCCGAAAACAATAATATTGTATCTGACGCTCAATTTGGGCTCCGCAAAGGCCGGTCCACTATTGATGCAGTGTTTGTGTTGAACTCATTGATACAGAAGTTTATTAACGAAAACAAACGTTTGTATTGTTGTTTTATTGATATGAAACGCTGTTTTGACTCTATTTGTAGAAATTCTCTTTGGTATAAGCTTTATAATATGGGTTTAAACGGCAAAATTCTACGCATTATTAGAAATATGTATCAATCTGTGAAGTCGTGTATACGTTCATGTGATAACATGAATTATTCTGATTTTTTCGACATCGCAATGGGATTACGTCAAGGGGAGATAATTTCCCCGATTATGTTCTCCTTGTTTATTGAAGATCTTGAGCTCTACTTGCAAGATAGAGTAAACTGTGGGCTTACTCTAAATGAGTTATGAATCATATTACTACTATTCGCTGACGACATGGTTATTCTAGCAACAAATCCGTCTGATTTGCAATCGTCACTAACTAAATTATATGAGTATTGTAATACTTGGGGACTACAGAAATCAAAATGTATGGTATTTAGAAAGCGGGGAGGCTTGAGAAATAGGGAAAAGTGGTTATACGGTGAAAATTCATGTATTTTTGAAAATGTTAATGATTTTAACTATTTAGGTGTTACTTTTAACTATACAGGAAATTTTTCATTAAATACCCAAAATTTGTATGGTAAAGGTCTGAAAGCAATGAGTTCACTCATAGCAAATTTAAAGAAACACGATACGCTGCCGAAAGTAGCCTTACAACTATTTGATTCGTTTGTTAAGTCTACAATAAACTATGGATGTGAAATATGGGGTTTTGTGAAATCAAAACAATTAGAAACTTTACATATTAAATTTTGTAAGACATTATTTGGAGTGAGACAGTCGTTATGTAATACTGCTGTTGATGGAAAGTTAGGGAGATATCCCTTGTACATAAATAGATATGTCAGTATAGTTTAATACTGGCTTAAGTTATGCCATAGTGAAAATGTTATTATAAAGGCTATAGTTGAGTCGGACTTAATTGATTGTTTAAATGGTAAATCCAATTGGTTTACAAATGTAAAAACTCTATTGTCTAAATATGGATTTTTATATAAATGGAATGAAGTTATAAGCACTAGAAATGTAAGCCTTCCTATCGATTATGCGTTTCTTAGTATGTTTAAGCAACGTTTGATAGACGAATTTACACAAGAATGGCGAACTAGTATCAACAATATGGAGGTTTTAAATTTGTATAAATATGTAAAAGATACATTAAAAATGGAACCATATTTAAACAATATCGCATCTCGTAACTTACGGATCGGATTGACAAAGTTGCGTATATCCGCACATAGTCTAAGAATCCAGACCGGCAGATATGGGAGAATTAACCTATAGCTCTTCAGCGCTTATGTAAAATTCTTCCAAGTATAATTTCCAATAACCGTAAATTATACCATACCCAGACTATGGTATAATTTTCAGTTTTTCTGGGCGGAGCAATAGGTTAAAACAGTAGCGTCGTGTTGTTTTGATTGACAGCTCATTTTACGTCATTTCTGCTATGCAAATTAACATCGAAGGAGTAAGTGTTTCTGGGCGGAGCTATAGGTTAAACCAATACACCATTGGTGCGTTGGCGATTTCTTGGTTTGCGTAAATTATACCATAATCACGTGACCTTTCTTATGCAACCTCACTCGACTTCGTCTCGTGAGGTCAAGGCATAAGAAAGGTCACGTGATTATGGTATAATTTACGCAAACCCAGAAATCGTCAACGCAGCAATGGTATATCTATTACATAGATTAAGTATGTCAAATATGTAATGGTTGTGAAATAGAAGACGAGTTCCATTTTGTTTTTAATTGCCCGGCATATCATTCTATTAGACTAAAGTATATCAACAAAGCCAACTATGTTTAAATTTACACAATTGTTGTCATCTAAAAACAAGTCAAATATTGTCATGTTAGCAAAATTTATACATGAATCACTAGAAATACGTACGAGTAGATTATTACGATCCAACAACTGATGTACATTTAATTGTTTGTAATATATCATTTGTAAATATGATGCTTGTTAATGACAAAGATGTAAAAATTTATAGATTGTATAAAGCACATCCTAAATGCATTTTTCAGAAATATATAATTTATAACAAAGAAGATTGTATATAACAAAATTGTGTGTATAAGAGTGTGAGCAAACGATGGATTAGAATGAGTATTTAAAAAAATCATCAACAGAAAGAAAAGCAATCGCTTTTATCGAGCGAATTTTCATATTATGCTACATTCATTAAAGAAAAAAATAAAGTTAATGTTATTACGAAAATGCATATTATATGATAGTAATCCAACGAGTGCTCAGTGTTTTAATTAAAACTTATACTTTTTATATGGCATTATATTTTGCATATGAAACAAATAGAAACATTTGGTATCTTTTTACATCAATCGAATTGTTTGTAGAATATTAAATGACATGAAAAGCATAAAGCAAGCAAAATAATGTATTATTAATATTATGCTGATTTAAAATTAAATAATTTATAACGCAAAACATACTATTATAAATTTTCGCGAAACGAATTGATACTATGATGTTTCTTATTACTTCTGATGATATATGACATGATATAAAACAAACATGGTTACATGTATTGTCCATCACCATAAATATTAGATCATTTTAATTTATCATATTATTATATCCTAATCCTTTTAGTATACATAATTGATATATGTCACAATTGTATGTTCTATGTACACCTATATGTTAATTTGTAAAATGTAGTGGCTAGTCACTAGAAACTGTAAAGTTTATGTGAAATAAATTTGTTCGTTCGTTCTTTCGTTCATTTAATCATCAACGACACACGACTGTTGTTTTTGGCATGCGTATTCAAATACACACCACGATTTAGATAAAGAGATTAAGAGGGACCTAATTTAATATAAATTATATCCCAGCTTTGAAAAAATATATGCAATGTACATTATTACAGCTATGTAACAAAACATTAAACTAATTAAAACAATGTTAATTTATTGCTTTTTCACTTTTTCGGATCTTGCAATGAATATAATTAAAATATTTGCTATCTGCCTTAAATCATTTACAAAATATCTTACTGGCCTTCTAAAGTACAACCATTGATAAAGGGGTCGAAATGTCTTACTTACTATGGGTCGAAAAGTCATGTAAAAAGGGGTCTAGAAGTCATCTTAATATCCTAAGAGGTCGAAAAATCAAGAGGTCTAAATGTCATACTTGCGACAGAAGTAGGATACCATCGTAATATCGTAAATGCACATTGTAAAAATACATGTGAAGAATATTCTGGATACAGTATGATCAAATTTTACAGATCATAACCGTTTAATTAGGTATGTGTTTTAATTTCCAAATGAAACACAGCCTTTTGTATGTTTATGACTGGTAGATACCATCATTTCCTTAAAGAATAAAAGAAAAATAGCTTCTCAAGTTCACTTACAACTTGCAAGGTTAGCAAAGTTGAGTTATTGTTACTCTTGGTTCAATTTGTTACAGTTAGATTTAGGTGAGATTTTCAGAAATAACACATGGGTTTGCGATATCAGCCCTCGTCAAAATACTATAACCCTCGGCTAAGCCTCGGGCAACAGTATTTCCCCCGGGATGATATATTAATTTTACTGAGGTGTTATTTATATAATATCAATTTTAATTTTTATATACTTATGAAATATTATACAATTATTGACTAGTGAGCCATTGAATATGATGTGATATTCACCGGCAGATGACATATTGACCGAGGCGATAGCCGAGGTCAATATGACTTTCTGCCGGTGAATATCACATCATATTCAATGGTTCACTAGTCAATAATTGTTTTATTATATGAATAGGCTAAGAAATTAAAAAAAATCACAAAAGTGCAACCTTATAATTATACATGTACAAAATTTTGCCTCGTTGAAGCGCGGGAAGAAAGACGCACGTGTTAGACGTGCAACGACTACGCGAACGCTGCGCATACAAAAATAATTCAAGTTTATACTCATTATTGCGGTGTAACCCTTAAGTATAATAGTAAAGTATTGATATTTTAATCGAGAAATATGCCATAAAGAAAAAAAAGCAACAATTATTTTTTTAATTAACACGTGTAATTAACAGTCTACGGTGTATGATCATTGAATATGAGTCTCAATCTATTTTTAGACTGGGAAAATCCAATTCAGCCAGTAAATATGATACTACACCCAGTAAATATGATTTTATAAAAAGTTCTGTTGACTACTGTTTGGACCAATGAGATTGCAGCTATATTTAGATCATATAATAAGGAGCAATAAATTTCACGAGAAAATATTTAAGTACATACATATGTAATTCCCAAGAAAGAAACTTCTACTCCATCTATATAAGAATGAACAATCAATATAATGAAATACAATTGAATTGACTTACTTTTATTGTGGTGACAATCCTCGTTCTGTTACGTGGTTTCTCTTCTTCAGTTTCTCTATCAGACATCAGGACGATGTCTTTTAACCCTTTTCCATGTTCCCAGTAGCCAACCTTTATAAAAATGTTCTTATTGAATAGAAAAGTATCTTACTCCAATGACAATATGTTAATGAGAATAGATAATTAAGTCTTCATTCACACATGTTTATGAAAATAATAAGATATTTTGACATGATTTAAGACACTGTAATATATTTTAAATGTGATAATGTTGAGAACAAAGAGACCTAAAGCATGGGTTAAAATAAATAGAAGCATCACAGGGATAAATGTATAGACTTCGGGCCCCAAATAACACCCTTCCCTAATTTGAAATTTTGAGATGTGTGAAGTTGGCGGCTCAGCGGCTTAGCGGCGTGAAGTTGGCGGCCGGCGGCCCATGGGCTGGCGGCGTGAAGTTGGCGACCGGGTGGCCCAGCGGCTGGCGGCGTGATATTGGCGGCCGGGCGGCCCAGCGGCTGGCGGCAAAAAATTTAAATGTTGCAGAAATGTTATTTAAACAATAAAACGGCATTTTATGAAGGGGGCGGAGTCCCCCTCATCGCCAAGAAAATATTTTGGACTTGTGAGAGGCTATAAATGACCCCAGATTGATCATAAGGTAACGTGTAACCAACGCTGAAAAGCATTTGACTCTATCTCAATCCATTGAGAAGTTGCAGCACTTTGAAATCAATTTTGATGGAAAAAATCAACGCAAAATAGTGATTTTTGGCAATTTTGAGATGTCCCCTCGTTGCCATGGTAACAGCAAATTTAAGCCTGAGCATGTTGTTGCAAGGGCAATGGTCCAGTCAACATTTGTGCCAAGTTTGATTAGTGTTGAAGCAGTTTTTATAGTATTATAGCAATTTGAACTTGTAACGGGAGACTTTTCAATGAAAACAGCCATTTTTCACAAAATGCTCATGAAGTAATGGGTTAATTAAAATAAAAAATCACTTTGAGATTTTTTTTTATTTTATCATTTTTTTGTGAAGTCAGCGGCCAGCGGTCAAAAAATTTAATGTCGCAAAAATGTTATTCAAACTATAAAACGGCATTTAATGAAGTTCTAAAGACATTTCTTATTATTTAAAGGATATATAAAAAGAAAAAAATCACTTTGAGAATATTATTTTATCATTTTTAGTGACGTTGGCGGCCTGGCGGCCCAGAATTTCAATGTTGTAAAAGTTTGGAAAAGAATTGAAAAACGACTCTTAATTAACTCTTAAAGACATATCTTATCATTTAACAGTTATATAAAAGAAACAAAACAGATTTTTTTTACTCTAGCGACCTGGCAGCCAGAAAATTGTACAGTTGTAGAAATGTTATAAATATGATAAAAAGGGACCTTATGAAGTTCTTAAGACTATTCTTGATATTTAAAAGTTATATAATAAGAAAAAATCACTTTCAGATAACTTTTTCATTTAATCATTTTTGTGAAGTTGGCTACCGGCCTAAAATTTTAATCTTGTAAAAGTTTGGAAAAGAATTGGAAAACGACTGCTAAGTCACTTTTAAAGACATATCTTATTTAATATATATATAAAAGAAAGAAAACTAACGTTTAGATAGAAAGCTTTCTTGTCTCTTGCGACCAAGCAGACAGTTGTAGAAATGTTATAAATATGATAAAAACGGGACTTTATGTGGAGGTACATAATTTCATATTATGATGTTAATAAGAAATTTCGCGTTATATAAAAGATAAAAATATATTTTAAAAACTCATTTTTGATAATTTGAATGGCTCTTTATGTTGTTCTTTAGACTCATCTCGTCAATTAATGACATTTAAGTCAAAACACTCATTTTGATCAATCTTAACATTTTGACATGTTAGGTTTTTTCATTTGAATTGTACCTTTTAAAATGTAGAAATTTTGCGGCTTTAAAGTCTTGAAAAGTGAGTATTTAATATGTCATATCACTTGTTTGTGAACTACTCGTGTGTATATGACACAGGCATGTAAGGAATTCTTACCTTTCTCCAACACATTTGCCGATTCCGCTTATGCGAAAAATAGCAGTCTAATAGAAAAGCAATACTAGTATGTTTGATACTTTTAAATAATGAGCAAATACTGGGTTTTGTTTTAAATTTTGACGAAGTTTTAACAACATATTAAAAAGATAATACATACAGTAAAAGATAATACGAGAATGGTCAACGAAACTATGTACCTATCTTGGTACAACACCTTAGGTAAGTAATAAAGCATGCAGAAATATTGCTTTAATGTAACGTATAAACTTATATAAGCCAATAATATCTTTTAAATACCAGAACCTGTATATTTATCAATGTAATCAATGCACATTTTTCAATGAATGCTGTAAGTACAAAACTATAAACATCTTTTCTTAGCTCCAGTGATCTTGACGTTAGTGATCCCTAACTCAACCCAAGTTAGAGAACAACTGAAAGTGTCTCCCTACTAAATGAAAGACATCGGTCTGTAAACAAGAGCCACCGCAGGGCGGGGAAACAATCGACTTTTTTTTTACTTTTCTAAGGGCAAACAAATAAACGGTTTTAACAAATCCTTAAAAAGAAACTTAAAGACAAAAATAAATTATCATTTAATTAATTTTAATAGGTTTGTTTAATCACACTTGTTGTTTTTGTTCAAAGGTGAAGGTCATATCTAAATTACTCTACATGTGTGTTTGGTCACAAGGGCTGTTTTGTCCACATATGAATAAGATACGTACTTAAATATCAAAATAATGACAACTAAAATTCAATAATTTGACCTTGACGGTCAAGGTCACTTAAAGCCTAAGGGCAATCTCAGTGCAACCTTTAAAGATGTCTTGTCCAAAAGGTTGTTTTGTCCAAGTATGAAAATTATCCATTGATTAATAACAAAGTTACAGCCAATTATAGCATGCGCAATGATCAGTGAAATTAAAAAAAAAAACTTGGCTTCAATGTCAGGTCATACATGAGTCAAGGTCAATTTGAGTTTTAAACACAAGATGGTCCTGACATAGAAGATGTTGTGTGTTCATTAGAAGTTACTTCATCTATAAATAACAAAGTAATAGCCACAAATACCAAAAATAGGAAAAGAAAACAAAGCAAATTTGAAATTCAGGGTCATTTATGAATGAAGGTCAATGTTCGTCTGGTCTACTTAAAGCCTTAAAGCAAGGATTGTTGAAGCCAAGTATGAAGACAATACACCAAGAACTTAAAATATCATGATCAAGACGGCAACGGCAGCGGAAACGCCGACATGAAATCAATTTTTTTAAAAGTCAAGCTAAAAAGGCTTATTAAGCAAAAGTGTAAAAATTTATTTTAATATTCTCATTACCTTGGTCCATGTCACCAATTCTTCTACCAATGTAAAAGTATCAGCCAATATATTTCCCTACCAAATAGAGAAGACACTAGGCTGTATAAGGAAATAACGCAAGGTTGGGTGGTAGATCTTTGATAACTCACTTCTCTATGGTCTCTATGAATAGTAATGGTTCCTTAAACCTGCACTTCCTTTGACTAGTCTATAAAACTGTCTGAAGTTGAGACAACATAAAGGTTATACATATTTCACACTCTCACGTAGGGAAAAACTAGAAGGGTTTTTGTTGCAAAAACATATGTCTCCCAAAACTATGTATGGTCACTCCTGTAAAGTTTGGTTGAAATCCCTACGGTGAAGGTCGGACAAGATTTTTCTATTTTAAGCTAAGCGCAACGAGTGCAACGAAGGGGAACATGCCGGCGATGTATAGCAATTTGACATTTGAAAGCCGGACAAGATTTTTACATTTTAAGCTCTGGTGGCGTGGCCATTTTGTGAAGCAAAGTGGAACGTGCCGGTTATGTGCACAACTAGGAATGGTACTGATCACTCCTGTAAAGTTTGGTTGAAATCCAACCTGTAGTTTGACCTGTGTAGGCCGGACAAGATATTTCTATTTTTAGCTCTGACGGCCATTTTGTGCAGCGAAGCGGAATGTGCCAGAAATATGCACAACTAGGGATGGTACTGATCACTCTTGAAATCCAACCAGTAGTTTGACCTGTGAAGGCCGGACAAGCTTAATGCGGACGGACGGACGACCGGACGGACAGATGTTCCAATTAAATGGACTAAGAAGCCATTTCTTTTCTTATTTTCTTTTGTTTAAAAGAGGGCCATGGCCCCTTATTCTATTGTTACGGAATGAACTCTATTGTTCTCTTTTGTTCTGTTTATAGTTACTTGGCCCCTACTTCTATTAAATGGCACGGACGGACAGACGGCGAACAGTATGTTTCCCAAATTTTTTGGGGACATAATTAAAAAATAGGCAAGGAAGACTGGTAGTTTTTGTACGAAACGCACCCCCCCCCCTCATTAATCCTTTTCATGGGTTAAGTTTTAATTAATTTCCCTTATAACTATTAAAAATGTTCTCGGGATAAGTATTTTAAATATTACAGAGGTAGATAATTCAAAAACTAAGTAAAGAACACTTATGGTTCTTTGATACTGTTCTTATTCTCACTTGGCTTTCTATGTGTGTGAAATTTCCATAAGACATCATTGAAAAAAATGTACACCGAATAAGCATTATAGTTATAGTTTACATTTATAAGTAAAGCTACAGTCTCACTTACATACCGGCAGAGCCCCGGAAGGCGTCCAGGGTGATCCGGGAACGACCGGGGTACGACCGGGAACAACCGGAGTACATCCGTAACTTTGCCGGCAACGTCCGGAATGATCCGGGAACATCCATAATAGCATTATTCTTACAGTATCGTTTGTGTATGACCGTTTTGGCTCTGCCGGTAGATCGAAGTTATTGGCACTTTTAGTGTTTTGTACTCATAGGTTCGAACCCCACGTAGTGCCATTTTATAACCACAGTTTTTTCTTTTTGCTCTGTTTTTATCATTATTATTAATTTATTTTTCGTTTTCCTTTTTGTTTTCTTCTTATAATATTTATTTTATAGTATATATTTATTTTTTTTATTTCTATTCTATTTTCTTTTTGTATTTTTTGATCGCAGTGTAATAAAATATTCGATCTCATATTCATGTATGTATATGAAAAAAA